TTTTTTTTTTTTTTTTTTTTTTTTTAAATTCTGTGTAGGTAGCTAGTTCAATGAATTAAAGTAAATTTCACATTTTTTGCAAGCTTTTCATATCCCTTTCTTCAACAATTTACTGACATTATTTTCATATCAATATTTCTATAGGTTGCTACTCTTGGAGAGGGTGTATCCTTGGAAGCTAAGTTATTGAGCAGGTGTGTTTGCATCCTCTTGGATTTTTCATTTCTCTATGAAATTTTGCAGGTCTTATTGTTTCACATTATTTATTTGCAGGAAAGAAGCAGCCCTGCGTCAAAGAGAGGTTTGTTGAGATCGTAACTGCATAAAGCATGTTGAATAGGTTTTAAAGAATCAAATCATTTATATATTGGAGGCCTTCGCATTATTAATCCTAGTTCCAAACTGGCCAAGCTGACATCGGTTACATTTCCAGCACCTCTTTTTCATCATTGGCCTTTGTTTTTGTTTTTATGTGTTTTTTTATCCTGACTGTTATGCTTTGTATAGGCTGCACTCAAAGCTGCAAAACCAACCAAGGATAGTAGAAATGAAGAAATTGCTGCTCTTCGTTCAGAAATTGAGGTAAAAAACACTATCCCTATTTACATGACTACTTGAGTGTTTTCAATATGTGTCCTGGTTTCAGATGTATGACATTCTAATTATTTTATCAGAACTTAAAAGATGAGTCATCAGCTGCTACAGAACAGCTCCGGGAAGCAGAATCTGAAGCAAAGGCTCTACGTGTAATGACACAGAGAATGATTTTGACACAAGAAGAGATGGTTAGTGTTGAGCTACAGAACCAATGTCTACGTTGAGCTGTAGAATTCTCTTTCAATCATATTCATATTTCCGTTTTCTTTTTTCCAGGAGGAGGTTGTTTTGAAGAGGTGTTGGCTTGCTCGCTATTGGGGCTTAGCTGTTCAATATGGTAAGAAACATTTTCTAGTTTATAAAGGCCTCATAGCATACTTGAGTTATGTGCTTTCTTAAAGTTTAAGTTCTTTGCCTATTGGCTGGGTTTATGGTCGAACATTAAAACTCTGTATATTATGAAGTTCTCAAAATAAAGCAAATAGGTAACTCAAAAAGCACTTTTGAAAGGTTGTCTCTGATATCTATGAGAATGAAAATTAGACTTCTTTTCGGCCAGATGTTTGGGTGGGTGATCAAGCATTGGCGTTTTGCTTCTGGAAAATCTTTGAAATTTCAGAGAAAGCCATGATACTTCAAGACTGAAAGGTTTTTTTTTTATCAGTTCTTTTGGTGGGGATTTTCTTTTCCCCTGCCCTTTAGGTTGTCTTTGTTTCATATCTCTTAATTCTTATAAAAAATTAAGAGAAAGGATTTGGTGCTTGACTCGGACTGTATTGGATTGGATTGTGGAATCCATAAATGGAGTAAGTTTAGAAGATAACGCAAAAGTTCTGGGGAGTAACGGTTTGAAGGCTATTTTGTGGTGAATGCTAGAATTTTTTCGACAAGTTTAATTCTTATTTTCATAACCTTGTACAGTTCATGGCTTTTAGTTGGAGTAGCTTATAGGAAACAACGAACCTCCATACTATAGTGTTTTTTTTTTCTTTTAAGAGAACTTATAAAACTCTGTATATGGTGTTTTCTTCCCTTGGTACTTCTGAACTTGATCATAGATCGTTGATCATCTCTCTAGTATGCTTGTAGGGAAAGTGGATTACTTGTCTCTTTCCCCTTAGAGATTTTGTGTGCTGATCTTGAATATCTTTGGCCTTGTTTTTTTCCTTCCCATTCTCATTAATATTTTCTAAGGTTTTTAATAATTTTACATCTGGATCACTTCTATATGCTCCAAGAATTTATCTTCTTCATTTGTATTGCTTTTTTTTTTTTGGATCTCTCTTCACCGATTTGCTTATTTCCAGGCATATGTGCGGATATAGCAATCTCAAAACATGAGTATTGGTCTTCTTTAGCTCCTCTGCCATTCGAAGTTGTTATTTCTGCAGGACAGAAGGCTAAGGAGGAGCCTGAAGGTTGATGCAACTCTTGGGTCCTGTTGTTTGATATCATGCTTTACGTTTATCCACTCCTCAGTACTTGACAAATAAAAAATAATGTTGGGCATCCATGTTTCAGGTCGAAATGATCAAGATAGGAGTAAGCTCATCCAGGACTTAAATGATCTCTCCGGGGAAGGGAATATTGAGAGTATGCTTTCAGTTGAAATGGGATTGAGAGAATTAACATCTCTAAAGGTTTTCTTTTACGAGACTTCGTGATTGTTTATTTCTTCCCTACTTATCTGCCACCACCATCCCCCCCCCATTTTCTCTACCCTTTTGTTTTCTGTACGATAGCTGTAATAATTACATTATCTGTTATTTAGTTTTTTGTTTTTCCCCCTTGAGTTTAGACGCGAATGATAGCCCTTTGCAGCTTGAAGCATTCTGCAGTATCCTTCTTGCAATTATTGACATGCCTTTATGCTAATCTTTTTCTCTATATCCTCCATTTTTGCATTTTCCAGGTTGAAGATGCAACTGTGCTTGCATTGGCGCAACATAGGCGTCCAAGTTTGGTTCATCAATCTGGTAGTTTTTTCCCCAATTAGTGCATGCAGCGTTTCTATTGTCTTCCAAACTTTTTGAACAATTACATTTCCAGTTTATTTAGATAAAAATGAATGATTATTTACTGACCTTTCTCATTTAGTCATAACATGTATTACTACTTTAAATAGTCAGAGGTTTGTTCACTTTTTTATGTCGATCTTTCAATGGATGGATTACTGCTTATTGACTAAGCAAATCTTTTTAGAATCAGGACTTCGAGAATTATTTCAAAGCTTAAAGAGTATGATTTGCAATTATTACCAACTGAACCATTTTTCAATTGAATCTAATAAGAACGGTACACATAAAGTTCCTTATTTTCTTTCTTTTTTTAATCACAGATTCAAAAGCGTCTGCTGATCCGAAGTTTTCTGAGGCTTTTGGTAAGTTGATTACTGTAACTTGTGCACCACACTCAGTAAAGATGTTCAAGAGATCCAAAACACAGCTATATATATATATATATAATTTTTATGGTATAGGACACGGTTGTAAGGGTAGGACACCATTGACTTGATGAAGCATAAGATCATGAAGGTATAGGGCACAAATGACTTGATAGAGCCGATGTATGAAAAATTTCTCCAAGTGTAGGTATAATGCATAGGCTAAAACGAGAGGCATCTTTGTTATATGCATTTTGACTTAATAATTTATCTCTAATATTTCATGAGCGACCCTTCATCTTACTTGTACTCTCACTTCTTTCATTTACTTCTCTCTCTACATAGTTTCTCGTTTTTCTCTTTTGCAAACATTTTCTCTCACCAATCTCACCCTACATACATATTCTCACTTTTTTTTTTTTTTCTGGAAAAAAAAAGGTTAACGGCCTTCATTTTAGTAAGTTGTCAATTTTTGAAGTATTTGTAATAGCAATCCTTTAAAAAAGCATTTTTAATTAAATAAAAGAGACATTTAAAACAATAGAACCAAATAATCAAGTAGTTTATTATTTTGCACTTCACCTAAAAAGCCGCACACACGATTGAATTTCTATCTTTGCAGAACTAAGTGAAGCTGAAGCTGAAGATGTTCTCTTTAAGGAGGTAGTTTAATCTGTTGTCTCATCTTTCTTGTTGGTCATGAGGATTATCTAGTTTTGTGCAATGTGAACATCCTACTTTTATTCGTCTTTTTGGGATTTACACCACGTCATTATTAGTGTATTTGGAATAACTTTGGAAAACAATGTTCTTTTATTTAAATAAAGTTTATTTTTCGATAAGCACCTTTGAAAAACTTTTATTTTAAGTGTTTAACCGAAAATTCTCAAAATATGTGGTACAAAATAAAAACATACATATAATTGATAGAATCACAACCAAACAAATTTGTCATTCAAAAAATTTTGAAAATGTAAGATATAATAAAAAATTTATAGAAGGTGTTCAAAACGGACCCATATCTCTTGTGGAAGGATGTGAACACTCAGAGACCAAAAGTATCCTTCTTCTACTTGCCTTCAATTAATCATTGATGCTGTTTGCTATTGTAGCACATGGGCATATTTTCTTCCCTTTACTTTTATGTAAAATCTTCATTTCATTTCAGAAGTTTAACATGCAAGTATCCCAGATTATTCTTATGAACTTAACAGGTTTACAATACCGTTACATATCCATATCTTGGCATCGAAATGTCTCTATGAAAATCAACATCGAGCATCTTTGGTTAACTCATGTTTGCATGAGTCAATCTTGCAAAATTTGGGTTTCAATAGTGACAGAGTTCGAAAACTTATGCAGGCTTGGCTTACATACTTTTGGAGAAGAGCCAAGGCATATGGTGTCGATGAGGATGTTGCAGATGAGCGCCTCCAGTTTTGGATCAGTCGTAGTGGGCAGCCTCCGACTTCACATGATGCTGTGGATGGTACGCTACATGTTTTCCATTATCGCTGTTACTCGCTTGGATATCTTAACATTTTGTATAGCCCTTCTAGTCTTGTATTGCATGAATCTATTATTTCAATTTTTACCATAGTATCTTTATAAATTAGTTTGCTCATCATTTTGATGCTATTACTCACATTTCTGCCCAGAATTTCATAAAACATTAGAATTGCCCATTTACAAAGAAAAGAAGTGCAATCCCTATCCTTCAAAAGAAAATAAACGATTCTTGTAGCTTTCTAAAACTATCTTATTTAGGAATCTAACAATTATAGATTATATTTAAAAATTCAACAAATGCATTAATCATCAATATAGGGAGTTGTATTCTATCTAAAAACATGTTAAGTATTGATTTTATTTGTTTGTGTGGAAGCCTCAGATTACGCGACATATTTTCTATCATCTGGAATGTAACTTATATTCTATACTATAGCACACTTATATGTTAACCGGATGAAATAGCTTAAAGTTTCATATCCTCTTGGCAGTTGAACGAGGTCTTGTAGAGCTCAGAAAACTTGGAATAGAACAACAGCTTTGGGAGGCATCTAGAAAGGAAATCGATCAATCTTCTGCATTTTCACTCAGTAGTCACAAATCTGCAAAAGAGTTAGACACCTTATCCTGAAAGATCGCCCGCATTTAAACGGATCGCAATGTCAGTTTTTTTTTTTTTTTTTTTTTTTTTTTTTTTTTTTTTTTTTTTTTTTTTTTTTTTTT